CAAATTATAAATTTTGATAAGCAATAATTAGCAATATAAATGATTGTGTTAAAATAATGTGTAAAATTAATCTATTGTAGGTTAAAGTTTAAGCGTAAATATAAAATTATGTAATTGAAAATAAAATAGTAATTTAATATATAATATTTTAGCAAGAATAGTGTTTTAAAAAAGTTACTTAAAATTAATGATGAAAGTAGTTTTGGCCAAACGAGACAACCATTATCTTCTCACCACTGAAAAGTTGCTTGCGATGATAGCGTGACCAAAGTTCAAGTTCGGGTAACGCTCATAATCTTCCCATTTCTCGACAGAACTTTAGATAATAGGGTGACCATAATCTTGACAACGGATAACACTTTATATACCATATTTACGGAGGTTTTTCAGGTTCGATTAGGCCAGTAAGGCCACTGCTTTGGCTCGCCATTGTAGAGTGGCCAAAGGCCACTCTAATGAGTGAATTATTTACTCAGTAGTTTGAATGAATAGTAACTTTATTAAATATAAAATAGATTTAAACGTGGTGAGTACTGGATCCAGAATCTTTATACATAGTTGTTACAATGAGCTTATATAACATGTTTACAGGATGTTAACAAGGTTGATTACTCATATGTAAATCATGTAGTTGTTTTAACGACTACAATTCTATATCTATTGGATTTGCATTTTTAATACAAAACTGAACACTGCCTTATGTACGAGTGTTTTGAGTATAGTGTACATTATATTTATACAATAAACTTGTTTTACATTAGAATTTAGTTTTATTTCTATTTAATAATAATTAATAACGAGGCAACTCGTCATTAATAGACATTTTGGGATAGGGAATATTTTGTAATAATATGCTGGTAGGATAATTAACTAGATAAATTTACATATTTTTAATTATTTTAATAATTAGAAAACAAAATAATGTTATTTATTATATCTGGTTACTTTGCAATTATAATTAAACCAAACAATAATCTTTGCATTAATTCAATAAATAATACACAAATTGCTAAACCCATACAAATGACATATACAATGAAAACACCACTCATTTGTCGGACATCCAAAGTGGCCGAACCTTTGCCATCGGCCCTACCGTACAGTCTCTGTCGTAATTCGCCACTACTATCGACCACCCGATAGGATAACCAGTGATCGTAAATACCGGACTCAATGAAACGAGTTATACTGTAAAATATGTTTACAACACATTATAAAGTTTAAATGATTTTTAAATTAAAAAATTTAGTAAATTTTAAATACATTTCATTGAGATGAATGTCGAGATTGGGACAGTCGGCGGTCGGGTAAAAGGGTAGAAAATATGGTGACATAACACCACCATGGTCGCTTATATGGTAATGTGACAAAAAGTCTGGGCCCCACACTACCATCGCGTGCTCCAACTGATGCACCTCACCTGACATCGCGTACTCTCCGGCTTCCATGTGTTTCATGATCATGGTCATTTTCTTATCCAAACGTTTAGATAACAGGTCCGATATTATAACCTGGGATAAAGTCATTACATTATCAATCAATATTATCAGCTAGAGCTGTGTTTATTTACCGACTTATTGGATATCATTATGGACACAAGATCATCTATTTCGTTACCAAGGTACTCATCGAGTGGTAGAAATCTATTGGCCAAATTGGTAGCCATACTTTCTTTTCCCTTGTATTTCTTGATATAATTGCCAGTAAACGCCGCCTCAACGCCAAGTAGTGTAACATCCGGTCTGTCGTAGAGATCGTCCCACGAATTGATGACAACGTCGGGCAACGGTTTGACCAGAAATGCCAACAAAACGCCCGCAAATGCCGTCAACATTACTGCCATAGATAACAACCACAGCGAGTGTATGAATGCGTTGACTATATGCGAGAATTTCCTAACGTTTCGCCCATAAGCCAGACGTTTGTGACCAAACGCACATTGTATCAGCTGTTGACACGTGTTGGGCACCCGTCTCATA